GGTGGGGCTCCAGGGGATGGGGCTCCAGGGGAAGGGGCTCCAGGGGAAGGGTCAAAGCGGCCCCTTGCCACTGTCACCCCTCCTGCCCGCAGGTGACTGCCCGAAGCCGGAGAGGTTCCCGTTCGCGGAGCCCTCCACGGCCCTGGAGGAGTCCTACCCCGCGGGGACCAGGCTGATGTACCGGTGCCGCCCCGGGTACAGCTTGGCCAGCGGCAAGTTCCCCTTCATCACCTGCCTGGACAACTCCAGCTGGTCGGAGAACCCCGACTTCTGCATCGGTGGGTTCCCCCCCCTCCCGGGCTCCCGGGGATGGGGAGGTGACGCGTTCCCGGGTGCACCCTGGACCCTGCAGGGGTCAGGACACTTCCCTGCCCCTGTTTTGAGGCCAGTTGAGAACAGGGGCTCACGCTGTGCCCGCCCGGGGCTGCCCTTTGTGCCTAGAAATCTCTGCCAGGTGATCTCTGCCCTTCTTTATTACTTTCCCACCTGGTGATACAGTGTAAATGCTCTGATAGATTCGGGCAGGAACAAGGTGTGGGGGAAGGGGCTGTGACCTGTCCATGCACCTGCCCATGCACCTGTCCTGGCCCTGGGGCCATCAGCAGGTTCTTCCCTGTCCCCTTCCTGCTGTTTCCCTATGGACCAAGACCTCTGCCCTGAGCCCACTGGGCTGGTTATCAGTTTCCTTTCTCAGAGCACATAAACCTTGGGTTTTTTAATTTGTCATTAGCTTTCTTTGTGGATTTATTTGCCTATTTGTTTTAACTTTCAGTTCCTAATGTGGATCTTGTATCTTTTCTGAAAGTGCAGGTACTTGCTTCTGAGGGAAGTCATGTTCCTGACAAATGGTCAGTTAGTCTGTAATGAGACTGAATAGTGTTGTCACCTGTGTTTGAGCACCAGGTGATGAAACAAAGCTAATTCTGATCACTTGCCCTTCCAGGAAAGTCATGTGGTCCACCTGACATTGTGAATGGCAACTTTCACTACACGACTGACCTGCTGTTAGGGGCAACAATAAACTTCACCTGCAACCTGGGGTGAGTGTTGGCTCCTGCAGCCCTGATGGAGCTGGTGCTGGGAGACAGCACCCATGGGAGACTCGGGGGCTTTTCATGGCTTGGGGCTGTTTCCCTGGCAAGCACCAGCACAGCGGGAGGTATTTGGGGCTGGGAGCTGTGGGGGGTCAGGCTCTCTCCTCTTGCTGTAAAACAGATGATCTGGGCATGAGAACACAGGCTTTGCAGATCACTTTTTGGCTGCTTTGCAAATTATTTTGTTCCTTTTCTTGTTGAAACTTCTTAGTGATTCAGTGCTTGCTGTTGTGGGATGGGCCCAGTTGTCCCTGTCTTAGCTAAGGGGTCTTGGGAAAAGAGGGCTGTGGTGCCCTGGGGATGGCAGGAAGGAAAGAGAGCAGTCCAGGTGTCTCAGGGACACCCAGCTCTGCTCATAAAGTTCCTCTTTGGATCCACCAGCAGAGCACAGGGCTGCACAGGCTCAGGGTGGGGATGCTGTGCTGCCCCTGTAAGCTTTGTCCACCCACAGCAATTGCTGTTCCATCCAACTGCATCATATCTTGTGTTTCTTCAGGCATTGAGAATATTGTCTTTTACAGAAGGTCCTAGCTGGTTTTCCCCTAGGATTCAGCTCCTCCAGAGCATGCTGTTAGAAACCATACAATGTTCTGAAATTCCTGAGTTTGTTGGGGTTTTTGGTTTTGGTTGTTTTGTTGTTTGTTTTGTGTTTGGTTTTTTTTTCAGAGATTCAACCTTTTTTTTTTTTTCCTTAGGTACCGATTAGTTGGGGAATCATCTGCCTATTGTAAACTTGTTGACAATGAAGTTTATTGGGATCAGATTCCATACTGTGAAAGTAAGCAGATCTTCAATGTTTTGTGCACATCTCTTCCTCAAAGCTATTACAGCCTCTCTGGCAGTTTGGGGAATGGCAGGTAGATGCTTTGCCTATGGCACCTAATGCAGATGATATTAGCCTTTAGTGAGACTGAGCTCTCCCTTAAACAAACACTCTGGCTGGAGCTGGAATGAAAATGAAGTACTCGAGAGGATGGGTGGATGTTGGCACAGCTGTGGAACCTGATCTGTAAGAAAAGCATCTCCCAGGGGTGTTGGTATTGCCCAGCCCTGGGGTCTCTGCCAGCCTGGTGCAGACCCTGCCTCACTCATGTTGTGTTTTCTATCCTGAATTGTTTATCAAGAGCTGCATTTGACCCAGACTGGGTTGCCCTCAGAGAGGACTGCACTTCCAGAATCTCAGTTTTCAAAAGGGAAGTAAATTCTAAGAGGTTTTTTGGTGCTATTTAGGCTTTATAGCATCCTGTGAGATGGGCCTGACAGTTTAGGTGGTTGCTGCTATAAAATGTGTTCTGGCCTGGTCCTCATTGGCACAATGAAGGGAGGAAATGCCACCCCTGGTAGGTAAGGATCCCAAGCTGCTTGGTGGGACTATGATTATTGCCTCCAGAAAGAAGCCTCTTCTGTAGTGTCTCCCTTTGGACAATAGATACTGTTTTGCCATTTTACCATTTATTCATAAAAAAACCCAACAATTGGAAAACATTCAGAATTTAAAGGCACGTTCAAGACTTCAGTTGAGATGATTATTTTAGGGCTGGGCTGGTTTTTCCTTTTAAGACCTAGACCTCGTTTTCATACTTGATGCAGAAGTTCTTGCATTTTCTTGCTGTTGCTTTCTCATGCAGTTATTCCCTGTTTCCCACCTCCCATGATTGAGAATGGGAAGCTCATTGATGGGAACAGAGACTTCACCTTTGGCATGGCTGCAACCTACAGCTGTGACAGAGGTTTTGCTCTTATTGGAGATGACACAATTCACTGTACAGCAAATGATAAGCTCGAGGGAGTGTGGAATGGTGAATTCCCCAAATGCAAAGGTAGGTGTTTTCTCTCCTTATTCTTTTGACTTTTTTTTCTCATCCCTCTCCCAATCTCTACTTTCCTGGTGGCTGCCAAACTTGAGAACGTTGATTTGAGTCTAAAAGGATTTCCAGGAAGCTTAATGCAGTGATCTCCTGAGTGGTGGTCAGAGGCAGGGCTTGGCTGGAGGGATTCTTCATCCCACAGAAAACAACCCTGCCCATGCCCAGGGCTTCCTCCAAATGAAGCTCTTGTGTGTGCAGTTTCTTAATGACATCTCACAGAGCACTTGCACTCCCCTGGGGATCTGCCTCTCTTGTGGGGGAGAAAGGGTGGCAGTTCCTTTGCAAGCTTCTTGTGTGTTGCCTCTGATACCACTGCAGGGGTTTTCCCTCCTGTAGCACAAGTTCTTATTACCTTATCTTTGCTTCCAGTGGTCAGATGTAAGAATCCGGAAGTGAAAAATGGGAGAAGATTATCTGGCTTTGGCACTGAGCACACGTATAAAAATACAGTGACCTTTGAGTGTAATCCTGGTCACTTGCTGAATGGCAGCAGCCTCGTTACTTGTGACGCAGACAGTAACTGGAAGCCACCTCTGCCAACGTGTGTCCCAAGTGAGTACAGATTTATTTCCTTGAGCAATGGCACTGAAGCAGATCTAAGAGCTGCTGTGCAGATCAGCTTCCAAACCTTGTGCACTCATAGCCATGCCCTCACAGAGCCTCCTGGCCCACATCCTTGGCATGGCAGCACAGGCCTGTTACATTTTTAGACCTGAAGCTATTTATTTGTGAGCTGCAAATGGAGAGACAAATCTGCCTTTTCCACCTGCTGGGCTCACTGCAGCAGCTTCCAGACCCGTTGGGGATGTTTTGCTTCTGTGCTCAGTGGGTCCTGCAGGTTGGGCTGGAGCCAGTGCAGGAGCATCTCTGAGGCAGAGATGCTTCCCAGTCTCCATCTCTTCCCCAGCCAAGCAGGAGGTGGCAGGTACTGCTGTTGGCTGAAGGGGTTGGATGCAGAGTGTATCCCAGATACTCAAACAGGTCGTTCAGTGCTGTTAGTGCAGACTCTCTGGCTGCTCTTCTGTAGCTAAACTTGCTTTTGCCTCCCACCCTTAGGTTGTGGCCCTGCCCCTGTCTTGCCTTTCGCGGAGGCTGAGAGGGCTGTGGGTGGCAGCTCCCCTGCAGGAACCCAGCTGCAGTACCGGTGCAAGCCAGGCCACGCTCCAGCCAGCGGGAAGTCCTCAGTTGTCACTTGTCTGGATGATGGAATTTGGTCTGCAGACCCAGACTTCTGCAGACGTGAGTATCCCTGCTCCTCTCCTGTCCGAGGGATCTGGGCACGCTCGGGATGTTCCTCTGAAATGTGGGTCCTGCCCATCCCTGGGTTTGAGGTAATTCCCGTGTTGCTTTCTCTCCCTGCAGGACAGCAATGTCCCCCTCCCACCATAGACAATGGGGATGTGACTGCAGACAATTTCCTGTTTGAGTCAGTTGTGAGATTCTTCTGTCACCCTGGGTGAGTGGATCACTGCTTAAAAGGGACCGACGTGGGGGTCACAGGCTGTAGCATCCTCCCTCCTCCCCTCCCTCCCTGGTTTCCCAGTGCAAGTCTCCAGTGAAACCATCTATTTTGTCTCCAGGGAGATGAGCATGTGGCAACACACACGTGTGCTTGGTACTGCAGTGACCTGTTTCCATTTGGATCTTATTACTGCCCTTATTTAGGGGCTCTGGTGGGGCCAGATCCCATTTCATAGCAGGGACAATTTCTGGTTAATAACTTGCCTGCATGCAGGGGTGGGGAGGCAGGGCAAGAATCCTGCCTGTGTTGCCTTCCGGAAGGTACTAAACTTCTCTTTCTTTAGGTATCAACTAAAGGGATCATCCTCTGCCAAGTGTGTGGTCTCAGGAAATGGGGTTAATTGGGATACAGGATTTCCACACTGTGAAAGTAAGAGAATAGTTGGGGCTGCCTTGGTGCTGGGCTTGGGCTGCTCTTACTTGTGCTTCTTAATTCAGTCAACAGTGACATTCATTATCACAATACTAACTGCTGCTGTGAGGCCTTAGGCTCAACATTCTCCTACAATGCATAAATTATGCTCACAAAGTGGAAGGAGAGAGGGAAGAGGGGAGGTGATAGAAAAAAAAACCCCAAAAACAAGTCAGAGAAGGAAAGATTACC